ACACACACACACACACACACACACACACACACACACACACACACACACACGCTAGTCAAAAACATCAGAGCATCTTTTTAAAAATTAACTTAAACCTCGGTGTGGTGGCTTACTCCTTTAATCCCAGCACTCAGGAGGCAGAGGCAGGCAGATCTCTGTGAGTTCGAGTCCAGCCTTGTCTACCAAGGAAGTTCCAGGACAGCCAGCATCGTTACACAGGGAAACTTTGTCTTGAAAAAAAAAACAAAACAAAACAAAAACAAAACAAAAACAAGAAAATGAAAATAATACTCCAGGCAAATCAGAGTGAGGACAAGTGTTGTTTCTTGCATCTCTAGTGGCAAGACGTATTTCTAAGTGTGCCACAAAGCTATCACTAGAGCAGTTTGCTGCTGGGGCTCGAAGATAAGGGAAAAAAATTCAAACAAAACTTCTGCAAAGGAGAATTACTTCTAGCCCAAGGAGACTGAAAGCAAGAGGTTCACAGGCAGAGGGTCAGAAAAGAACCCGAAGGGCTGGCCTTGAATACAAAGAAATGTGTGCTGGGGTTTCTTCCAACAATGGATGCTCCTTAAGAGCAAATATCCAAAAACCAGAGCTCTGTCTCCACTGAAAACGTCTCAGAAACATGATGGCCAAGTGGGAGGGAAAAGCAAACTACCAAAGGATACAATAGGGGCCAGCTGCGTATCTTTCAGGACTATTGGGTAAGACGCCGCCTTGTTCATGGCTGTGATGTAGCAAAATCAGACAGGAGGGACCACAGGGCAAGAGTTACCCTGCATGTGCCCAGGCAGAGAAAAGAGGAGAAGGCGCTTGAGCTGGTAAATGTTATAGTTTATCTGTTTTAAAGGTGTATTTTTTTTTTAAATGTGTCTTCATGAGAGCAGTGCATGTGCTGACCAGAAGAGGGCGCTGGGTCCCCGGTGGTGGCGGGAGTTAGTGCATACTGGGAACCTAACTGAGGTCCTTTGCAGTACATGATCTTAATCACCAGCTCCGTCTGTTTGTAAGACCCGTCTTGCCGTATAGTCTAGGATGACCTCAAACTCATGGTCTTCTTACTTCATCCTCTAGAGGGCTGGAATGACAGGTGTGCATCTTGTGGGACTTAAAAGCTAATTGGTCCTTCCCTTCCTCCTCCGTCCTCCCTCCCTCTTTCCTCTTTTATTTTTATTTTGAGACCGAGTTGCCTGCATAATCTTGGCAAGCCTGAACTCTCTGTGTAGACCAAGCTGGACTAAAACTCACAGCAATCCCCCTGCCTCTGCCTCCCAAGTCCCTTTGACTCATCTTAAAAAAAAAAAAAAAATCATTAAAAAAATCCAACTAAAATGACCAACCACCAAAAGGAGTCTGGAGTCTGGAGTGATTTTGATATGCACATCGTTTCCCACTTCAATCCTTTAACGGCTTTCCGTTGTCCTTAGATATAATTCAGAGTCTTTAAAGAAATTAATGAGACTTTTTATACTTACCTGTTGCATACGAGGGTGGGGCAAAAGGTATGGGCCTCCTACCTTTTTCTATTTGAAATAAATATTCTCTACTCAAAAAAATGTCAAAGTTCCTGCGGTTGGTGGTCCCTGTTTTGTAATCCCAGCATTCAGGAGGCTGAGGCAGGAAAGTCATAAGTTCGAGGGCAGCCTCAGCTACATAGTGAGTCCGAAGGCGAGCCTGGGACGCGGAATGAAATCCTGAAGCCCCCTCCACTCCAACCCCCACCGCAGCAAATGTCTTTCAAAGAGGAAACAAGCAACGGAAGTATTAAAAGAACCACGGACACGGAAGGATGGAAGGCAGCCATACAAGAAGTAGGCGCTTCCTTCCGCCTGCGGAAGTGAGAGCCGTGTAAGGGTCCTGAGGCGGGAGGCAGGTGGGAGGAGCCAGGAGGTAGGCTGACTTCCTGACCGAGCCGCCCAGAGACTAAGGAGGAGGCCAAGAAGTCAGACAGGTGAAAGGGGCCCTCAGGAGGGGCTCTGGGCGGCAAGGTGAGCCCTTTGCTTTGTTGTCACAAGGGATGAAGTGGAGCCAGGGTAGGGCCTAAAGCCAAGAGGTCCCTGGCCGGACTTGGATGTTCACAGGCTCTCAGAGTGTGGCGGGGATGGAAGCCGACCAAGGCGGGACCAGGTCTGGACGTGAGGCTGGAGGCTGGTGAGGGGTAGGGAGACATCCCTTGGGCTGGGCATCCGGGTTCCAAAGGCAGGGTTGACTCTGCGCTCTCCATCAGGGCCCACAAGCACCCTCGGCCTGCAGAGGTGGCTGTCACAAGAGCAAGCCCTGCGCTGCAATGTTCGGTCATTTCCCGTCTTGAGGCCAGGCAGGCTTCCCAGCATCCGCTGAGGAGCCCTGTCCCTGCGCGGGCCTAGGGGAAACCCCTTGCCTACGAGCAGATAGCTCACCAGGCCAGGGGGGACCTTGCCCGAGCTCACCCACAGCTGTGGGCCGGGCGGGATGGAGCCTGACTTGGTGTGCAGGGTTACACTGGGGAAGTCCCCGCACACGGGGGTCAGAGGATGCTTCTGGGGCAGGAACCGAGGCTTAGAGACTGGGTGGGGGAGGGCAGGAAGAGGCCTTCCACCCCTCGGCTGCGGTTCCCCCCAAACTTCCGCCCCAGGCCAGTTCTTCCCAGCCTCAGCCTGACACCCACCTCCACCCCAGTGCTCAGGTTCCGCCCAGGGGCTCTCCTGGGTCCTGGGGGAGTGGAGGGGGGGAAGCCCAGGGTGTTCAGACTCGTTTCGTTGCTTTGCTGGTTTGTTTCGAAGGCAGGTTCCCACTCCGTTCGCCAGCCCGGCCTGCGACGCCATCACGCGGCCCGAGCTTGGCCTCGAACCCACGGCAGTCCTCCTGCCTCAGCCTCTCCAGTGCTGGGATGTCGGGCGCGCTCCCTCACGCCGGGCCCGGGCTGCTCCTCGCCATAAAATTTCCTTCCGTCCGTCGGTCGCTGCAGGTCTCCCAGCCGCACTCTTCCCCAGGCAGCTAGGCCGAGGCCCGCGCTCGCCGCCAGGCCCCCTCCCGGCGGGGGCGGCGCCGTGACGCGCGGGGCGGGCGCAGGAAGGGGGGGGGGGGTCGCTGACGCCGGGGGGGCCCCCGCGGGGGCCGGCGCCTTTGGGGGGGGGGGGGGGGGGGGGCGGCGGGGTCCGGTGGGGGCGGCGGCCGTGGCAGGCGAGGCCCGGGAGGCCCAGCTCCGCGCAGCCGGCCGGGTCCTGCCCTGCAGCCGGGGCGCCGCATCCATGTTCGAGTGAGCACGGGGCCTCGGGGTAGGGCGGCGCGATGGGGCCGGGGCGAGGGGCGGGAGCGGGCTTCCCGAGCGAGCGAGCTCGTGCGCGCAGGAGCGACCCCGGTGGGGACCGAGGGCGCGGACACGTGTCCCGGGGTGCCTGGGGGCTTGCAGGCTCGGCGGCGAGGCCCGGGATACGGACGGATAGCGGGGCGCGCCCCCAGGCCTGGATCGCCCCTCCTGGGGGAGCCCCGACGCTGCCCCCGGGACCACCGCGAGCAGCCCCTCCCCCCCACCACGCAGCACCGGGCAGGCCCCGCAGCTCCTGGGGTCCGTGGTCCTTGTTTGTGGTGGCGGCTGGGAGAGGGAGCTTCTTGGAGCCTGAGGTCTCGGTGGGTTGTGGGGGGTCGTGTGTGTTTCCCACCTGACCCCCCACACCCCACCCCTACCCCCGCCTGGTCCCCCTTCCCCTGCGGGTTTCCGTTTGTGATTGTGTCCTGGAAGGAACTGGTCTCTGCGTGGTTGTGAGTGTGTGTGTGTGTGTGTGTTTAACAGCTGGGATCCTTTGGGGCAGTGTTTGTGTGGCTGACTGTGTGTTAGCTGTCATGTTGCATGTGAGGGCCATCAACCAGGTCGAGGGCATCTAGGGCTCGTGGACCTGCTGTCTGTGTGTCTCGTTTTCTCTGTGGCACCATGTGCAAATTACACCTCCTCAGCCTGTGCCTCATTGTAATTTTGGGGTGTCTTGAGGCGGGTTTGGGGCGCCCAGCGTAGAGCATCCCACTTCAGTCCCTTGGGCTGGCTGTGTTTGTAGTTCGCCATGGTTTACACCTGTGAGTTACCGACGTGGGGGCTCTCAGTGTGACATCCGTGTGTGTGTGTGTGTGTGTGTGTGTGTGTGTGTGTGTACGCATGCTTGGGGCTCCGCAGCTGTGTGTGTGTGCCTTGCCGCCGACACTTGAAAGTCTTTGGACTCAGTGGACAGGTAGAAACTGTGTGTGTCCGTCTGTGACAAGGCTGTGTGTCTGGGGCTCTGTGGGTGGCCCGTTCACCTCTGCTTCTGTCCGAGGGGAAGTTCCCTTCCGTCTGTGTGTAGCATTGTTACTGTCCCTGTGAAACTCTGTGTCTCCTAGACCCTTTGTCTGTGAGGAGAGACAGAGAGACCCCTTGCGGCTCTCTCGGCTGAGGACCCTCCCTCCTGGGACGTCGGGTGTAACCTTAACTGCTTTGTAAAACCTGCCCCGGGCCTGGCTTCTGGTACAGCGGTATTCCCGAGTCTGTCTGTCCCCCCCCCGCCCCCACCCCACAAACCCCGGGGCTCTGGGGATGTCAGGGTCTCTGCCACTGTGACCTGATCATTCCATTCCTTGGCTCTCAAGACAGCTGGCCTTTGCTTTGTTTTTTCTGCCGGATGACTTACCTTCCCTTAGGGATGTATGTCTAGGTCACTGGGCCCCATGACGAGGTGATGTGTGAGTAGGTTTGTTGTGGGTGTTGCTGTTGTTCTGGTGTCTCTTCAAAACTTGTCTGTGGCGGTAGCTTCTCTCGGACTGCCTGTATCTCTCTGGGTTTGGAATTGTGGGGTTCTTTGTGACTGTAGCATATTTGTGCTGTGTGTGTGTGTAACTTCCCTGGCGTTTGTGTACGGATATGACATACTTACAATGCTGTGGCTGTTTATGCTGTGACAACGCTGTGTGTGTGTGGAAGACCGACGGACAGGTGGGAGAGACAGACCTCTCGCACCCGAAGGCCAGTTTGCCTGTGGCCCCTTGCCTCCCCAGCCGGCTTTCCCTTTCCGTCACACCTGAGTGTGCTCTTGCCCCTCTGGGCAGAGGCGGTGTCTGAGGCCCCGGAAGCTGGAGCATCTGCACAGTGAAAACTCCATTCTCTTCCTAGTCCCCGCCCCTTAACGGTCCCCCTCTCGCCACTTCTGACCCCTCCCTTCCCTCTGCCAGGACTGGCTGGCTGGCTCTCTCGCCCTTCCTTGAGAACTTCCCTCTTTGTCCCATCCAGGACTGGGAATTGGGGGGGGGGGAATGAGCCTGGCTCCTCTGAACCTCCAGTATGCCCTCAAGTGGACCTGGGCGAGCAGGGCTGGGGTTTACCTTCTCCCTAGAACATGCCAGCGGTCCAGGGTCTTCAGGCCTGCCTTGGGAGCCCACATGTCCCTGGCTTGCCGGCCACCCACTATTCTCAGACCTGCCGGCCTCGGAACGCTCTGTCCTGAGAGTCTAGTACCGTCTTCCCCCACACTTTGCCAGCTCTGTTCTTTGTCCTCTGCCCTCGGCCTCAGTGAGCCTTGCCCAGCCTTATAAGCCTTTGCAGTCTGGCTCACTTAAGAAATCCTCTCTGCTCCTAATTATTCCATCAGAATTCAGCGTGCATCAGGTTTGAAGTTGAGGTTTCCAGTGGGGTGGGGGGTTGGTTGGAAGAGAAATTTACAAGTTTTCGTTTCAGTTTTGTTTCTGTGTTTTGTTTTGGGGCAATCTCTGTGATCCTGGAGGGCATGTCCCCCACGTTTGGGTGGGTGCCCTGTACTGACTCACACCCCCAGCTCCTCCCTGGTGATCCTCTAGGCAGTCTGCTGAGGAGCCGTGCCCTGAGCCCCTCAGCCGTGGGTTCAAGGCCCTTTGGCTACACACCCCCAACTCTGGAGTCCTTAAGACAGAACCTTGCTTTGCGGCCTACGCTGCTCTCGAACCCGTGATCCTCCTGCCTCAGCCCAGAGCTCTGCATTAACAGGCGTGCCCCACCACCTCTGGCTGGCCTCTGGATGCTGATGGTGGCAGTGTTCTGGGGGCTGTGCTGAACTTTATACGGATGGCAGGTTCTGGAGGCCATTGTCCTAATTTCAGTGTCTTTTTTTTCTGATGGTCTGGCCCCCCTGGTTAGCATAGGCAAATAGTGAGTTGTCACTCGGTTTCGGCAGCTGTGGGAAAGAGAAGGCTGTCATCCATGGCTTCTTTGTCCCTTTGTCTTACATATCATTTCTGCCCCAAGTTGCTCCAGGAGGTAAGAACACCAGGTGAAATCTCGGCTAGGGCAGATGCTAGCCCAAGGCCTCACAGGGAAACGTTGATGGTTCTGACACTGGAGGCCTTTGAGTCCAAATGTGGATGAATCCAGGCTGTGTGTGTGTGTGTGTGAGAGAGAGAGAGAACAAGCAAGCCTGATCACTTGGCTCAGGTAATGGTGATGCCTCCTCATGGGCACCTGTCTAGACGATGGGGAAGAGAGATGGGGAGCAGGGGCCCGAGGAGGGGAGGGTGGGCACATGCCGACGGCAGATGCTCTGAGAACAGAGAAGGCGGGGGGGGGGGGGGTCGGCGAAGGGTTATGTGATTTCAGATAGAACGTGTCTGTCGAAACGTGGGGGAGAGTTCCCCCTACGTCCAGTGGGGGAAGGGCACGTGGTGCAGAGGGAAGAAAGAAGGCGGGAGGCAGAATAGAGGTAGCTCCACTCATGAGGGCCGAGGAGGAGCCGTGGGCTTTTGTGGGGGAAGGAGGGTGGGAGAGCCTGACAGCCATGAAGCCTCTGACCTGCTCAGTGTGCGAGCAGGCTTTCTCGGGCTGTAAATTGGGATAGACCGAGTTCAGGCCCTATGCCATGGTGAACAGAGTCACCGAGTTGGCCCCGGGGGAGCGGTAACGGCTTAGGCCACTGTTTATGCCTTTTTATTTAGCCACATAATTTATTAAATGAATTTACTGCGTAAGAATCACGTGAGCACTCCCTTGCACCCCATCCGGGCAGGGCTGAGTGGGAGACAGCCTGAGGCTCATCTCCAGAAGCCCATAGAGCTGTTATCAGAGAAAAGCCGACAGCTGGGGCGGCTGCTGCCCCAGCAGAGTATGGGGACCCTACAGATGGGAGAAGAGTGCACCCGAGCCTTGGAGTGTGCATAAGAATTTGTAAGGCCCAGGCATGGGGGTGTGGCCTGTAAGCCTATTGAGCACGAACTTTTCAGTGATTTCTTGGTATGAGTACAAAAGCAACTCCAGACAGACCCTTGATTAAAAAACTGTTCACCAAAAACATCAGCCAGACATGGTGGCACAGGCCTGTTATCCCAGCCACTATTTGGGGGGGGGGGGGTGGCTGAGGCAGGACAATCAAAAGTTCAGTTCCAGTCTAGACTACTGAGTGAGTTCAGAGCCAATTTGTACAACTTACTGAGAGATCCTGCCTCAAAATAAAAAGTATGAGGTCTGGGATTGTGGCTCAGTGGTGGAGCACCTGCCTAGAATCCCCCAGTGAGGGGCTGGGGTGTGGCTCAGTGGTGGAGCACCTGCCTAGAATCCCCCAGTGAAAGGCTAGGGGGTGTGCTTAGTGGTAAAATGTCCACTGAACATACACCAGGTTCTAGGTTCAATTTCCAGCTCAGCAACAAAAAGCAAAAAACAAAAACAAAAACCAGCTTCAGGGCAAAGAGGAGCAAGGGCACTGTGAACCAGGGGGGACTGGCTAGTACTAAAGACTACAGACAGGAGACACATTGGAAGACACTTCCTAGGGGGTGGCAAGATGGCCTCGTGGGTAATGGTGCTTGCCCCTAAACCCAACCACCTATGTTGTTCCCGGGATCCACAGAGTAGAAGGAGAAACTATTCTTAGAACTATTCCTGAATGAGGAGATCCCACTTGCACTCAAATAGATCTGTGTCTCCGGAGTTAGAATCTTTCCCAGAAATCAGCGGTGCCCCCTGCTGCGGGTACCTCGGGCTTGCAGCCTCAGTCTCCACTGTTAAAGGTCACAGGACCAAG